GATCTGAATTGGAATGGAATTGTGACTTCATTATTTAAAAGACACATGTTGCAAAAAACGATATTTAGATTATTTTCTTGTGAGGTTTTTATTCCCATGATTCTATCAAAATAATCGTAGAAGTTGTACATTATTAATTTGACATTTTTATTGAGATTGAATTCTTGTAAGATGGGCACAATTACTTTTCCTTGCGTTTTTCTTACATGTAGTTCCAATACAAGTAGTAAGTTTATTATGTGAGTTTATTATGTTACATATTTGGACAATACAATTTAGCAATGGAAGGTCTTATAAGAGAGGCATGACTTCCAGTATCAATTAGGAGTTTACAAGATGGATTTTGTATTTGCATGAAAGGTAATTGATTGATTTGGTAACTGTTTAAAGTTAAGGCTGATTTTCTTGTTCCGAGGCTGTCAGTTGAAAATTTTTTTTCCGAATAATTTTCTTGTTTCTCGTAATCAGGGTAATAGTCATTATTAGATTGTTCGTCTTGATTATCAGAATAATCAGTATAATCTTTTTCTTCATTCCCAAAATATTGTTTAAGATTTTCTTCCAAACTTTGTTCAAGAATGTTATTGATTTCTTCGATCGTGTATCTGGGTGCACCAGCATTTGGGTTTGGTCTAAAATAGTTAGAGAGACCTGCTTGATTTTGTTGTGGTCTATACACTTGGGAAATTTGTCTACGAGGTTGAATCGATACACCAGACATCGGTATTGGTTTGGAAAATTGTTGATTTGGTTTGTTTTTAGCAAACACATTTTGTTGTTTGAAAAAGTTCTTTCCAAAAGTACCAGTTCTTTTAGGAATTTTTCGTTGGTAGTTTGGTTTTGTCTGTACATTGATGGGTTGAGATGGAAATTGGGATTTATTATTGAAAAGTGTTTGTTGGTAATTGGGTTTGTTAGTTTGTTAAGAAGTGTGTATATTTGGTTTAAATGAAAATTTTGATTATTAGGTTGATTAAGCGTTTTATGATGTGACTTGTTCATATTTGTGTTGAAATTCATTGACCTTCTGCTAAATGATAATTTAAAACAAATGTAGTTGCTGCATCCAGTGTTTCAGGATTGCGAATAATTAATATCTTACGCAATTCTACTAGTGAATTTGTTATCAAATTTTGAACTGCAGTAATCTCATTTTGTGCGACTAGGACGTGTGAAATCAAGTCTAGATCTGGGTCACTCATTATTTTTGAAGTAATTTTATGCACAAGAAGTTTGAGTCTTTCGAGATAATCAAAAATATTTTCTTTGGAATTTTTACTCATATACATTAAATCCTGAATTAGATTTTGTCTTGAATCGGGATTTCCGTATTTGATTCTTAAATCGTCTCTTATATCAGGCCAAGTTTCTAAGTCTGGTCTGGACATAAGAAAGTTACCATTATCGTCAATTAATTTTGATTTGATTGCTGTTGCTAAAAATTCTTTTTGAGCATTCTCACCTGTATAGTAGGTGTGAAAAAGCTTATCGATTCTAGGCAGCACAATACGCGTGGCGCTGATAAAATTTCTCTTCCAATTCCAACAAGTACACTGACAAAGCAATCATTAATTTATGAAAGCAGAAAAATCTATAACCAACTGCCAACAAACATAAAATCTCTAAATCTCTTAAAAAAATTTAGAAGTTCTTTGAGGGAGCTACTAGTCAGTAAGGCATATTACACCATGGCAGAATTTTATGCCGATTTATTTGCTTGAGGTACTTGCACTGATTGATATTGAGTTTACTTTTGTTATTTTATTTGTTTATTTATTTTTATTTATTTTTTTCCCTAAATTGTAACCCTACCAACATTCATTTTATTTTATTTTTATTTTTTTTGCATATGATCTGACCTGACTTTTAAATATTTATTGTATTCTTAGTTATTAAGTTATAATTTTGAATTGTGATTGTAATGTATACTTGTTTCACCTGAGCGATTGATGTTTTTTTAATTTTAATATGTTACCAAATTTACTGTTTTTAATTTAAGTTGTTTTGAACTGTTTTAGATTTATACTTAGATTTTGGTTCATTTATTTTATTTCAATTAATTATAGACTGCTTTGTGAATGAGATCGTATTTTGCACAATAAAGCATTTTTTGACTTTGACTTTGACTTTGATATTGTTTATAAAGTACCTATTCTAAATATGAGCTTTCTTAAAGGGTTTGAGTAGCTGAACGATGGATTTCAAATTCTCACCCATGGTTCTATTTTGATTAATGATTTGGTAAAGTCTGTGCTTGAGCGAGATTAGCGGGTGTTGGAGGATTCATGTATAGGAATCAGAACAACAAAAATAAAAATTATATCTCTCTTCACTTTATTTTCTTTAAATTGTTTGATTTATTATCATTATTAGTTTTTTCAGCTAATTTGTGTTAAAATCACAGTATTATACACGCCTGGCAAGTCAACATTTTACAGGCTGGTTTTAATGCAATAATGAAATGTCTAGAGAAAGTCTAAAGTTGAATAGAGAACGAAAACGATTTCCCCTGTTCCACCTCTAGCATTCCCAGCGCTTTATGCTGGAGATGGAACAGGGGAAATCGTATTCGATCTCTATTTAACCTGAGACTCTTTCTTGACTCTCTATCGCATTAATATTGGCATTTAAGATGTTTATTTGCCAGGCGTGTATACCTCAGTGAATCAACAGCAAAAATAGCAAAAGGATTTAATTATGAAGCACTAAAATTACAAAATGTTAGGAAGGTTAACTTATAGACAGATAATTGCTTTGTTACAATAACACTCCCTTAGCACGTTGGTTTTAAACCTTCTTATCCTCAGTTAACCATATAAATATGGAAGTGGACGGGCTGGATGTTCTAAGACTTTTTTTCTCAAAATGTAATCCACGAACCCCTTTTTCGTCAAATTCGCGAACTATTTTTTTTTTCGAAAAAGCACGAACTGCGTTTTTCGGGTCTCCAAAGCTTTACACTCTGAGGATCCTACCGACTGCGCCAATTACGTTTCCACTCCGGTAAACTTTGTTGTAAAAACTATTTATAAGTATTACAAATGGAAACTATAAACTATTCTAAAAGTGAAAAAAATTACTGCGATGCGATCTCGAGAGTAAATGTACTGTAGCTGCGTGCGTATTTTATAATAAAATAAATGCTACAGCATAAGCAAGATAGATATTATTGTTTATGAGGGAACAAAAGGGTCTGTTTTGGTTTACAATATAATTAGTACACTGCAATACAAACAAATATATCTCTCTATGGCCTGCTTTTAAAAACCTTGAGTTCCGTAGGTGATGAGGTGAAAATAGTAATACATAAAAAAGTTGCCTTGATCTGAGGTATTCGTGAGAGCAGAGAGAAGTTATTGACCACATTGAATCTGACCGTTACTCAATTCAAATAAAAAGAATACCAATGCATTTTGCCTGCAGCGATATTGCAAATTCTTATATTTTAACTTACACAATACAAAATTAACAAACCCTTTCTAGACCGACTCAAAACGTTAAACAGACAATTATAGATTGAACACCATTACACTGTTGTATTCCAAAACGCTACGTATGTAGAAGACTATATTAAAAAATGACTCAATAGCTTCACACATATTTGAAAAGGTACGACGTCGAAATCCTAACATTCTTGAAGCCTCAAAATGATACTTACTATGTACTATCAATATGTTTATTGAAGCTTAAGTCAGCTGAAAATTACACCTAAATCGTCAAAACTGTTCACAACCTCCAAAAAAATATTTCCCATTGAATAAATAATATGTTCTCTTGGACTCTTGAACTTTCACATTCATAAAATCGCCTGACCTCACATTTAGCAACATTTATCTGTAAACAATTTAAGTTCATTCTTGAAATATTCTTAAGTTAGTAGCCGTTGATCTGCCCTTAAAGAAACCATGTTGGTCGGGTGAAATTTCGTGTGATCTTTCGTTTATCTAAAACAGGAACTGTCGACAATGGAAAGTTAATTTCTAGTGGAATGTGGTGCTGAACAACACCGCTAAGTTGAAGATGAGCTAATGAGCTCCCAGCTCCCTTTATTGACATATCATGTAGCAATGTAAGCAAATTAGAAAATTGTGTTGATCTTTTTTTTGCGCTGAAATTCCTGGTAAGATCATCAGGAAACACTAACGTAGCAGTATCCAATTCAGTTGAGGAATCTTTTGATGAGGGAAAACGACACAACAAATTAAAAAATTATCAAACAGTAAAATAAGATACTAGGTACTAACTTAAATATCTCACCCTTCAGATAAGTTGGTCAAATGACTTCCTTGATCTATAATTTACAACCCTTATGCAAATTTTATTTCTACCAATAATAATGGCCATCTGCAAATTCTGATATAGGTATTTCTACAAAGCGTGAACGCTATTGTACTGTAACGTAACAACATTATTATTCGTATGAATAACATGTAGCAAATGCTGTTACTTGGTTTCCGTCTCTTTTTGCTGCATTAAGGCTGAATATGTTTATCTCAAAAAACTTAAGCAAGAGCATTTGATTCTGTTTTATTCATATAAGCACAGGGCACACGGGGACGTGCTATCACCCTACAGAGGAACCATTTCCGAAAATAAGGTAGGAAACCGGAGATTCACCTAGACTATAATTTTTTTGAGCGTTCTAAAATTTCAGAATTTTCAACTTTTGCGCATCCGTCTATTTTTGTCTTAGACAGAGCAATCTCCCTTGAGACCAATTCACGAAACAAAAAAAAACACTTTATCTAGTTTCCTTTGACGCAGCGCAAATTACATTTCTCTGCTAGATTTTCAATTTGTTTCCACTTCCGTATCCTAGATTTTTTATCCCGGAAACTCATCATAATATAGAAAGAAAAAGGGAAACTATTTCCTCCATATCCTGAGGGTAATTTGCAGGTCTGCAGCACTGGCAACGCCGCAGGATCTCTCCACTCTCTCTCTTTCCCAGTCTAGTCTTTGTGTTGCTAATAGGAGCAAATAGTCGCACTCCGCGTTCGGCTTTAGTTGCAGTCGGTCTGCCAGAACGGGAAGAGTCCCGGGGTCCCGACGGAATTTCTGGAGGTCGCGCGCGCGTTTCCAGCAGGAGAACCTGTCTCTGGCTCGATTATCACCGACTTTTTGCGGTAGGGCGTAGCAACTAATTTAAATGTTTAAATAAATTTATGAACGAAATAATTTTATTTGTGGTGTCAGTGATATCCTGACAGAAATAAAGGTAAAGGCAACCCTTTTGATTTAATTTAAATTGTGATTTGTCTAAATTTTAGGTTACTTTATCCAAACCGTTATTGAATTATCTTGTGATCTTCTATTGGTTTCACTATTCACATTTCTCATACACACATTAAATAATAATTAGGCTTATCAAAGAAGTGATAATTTTTTGACGTGAATAATAAATAACGATTTAATGTAGGAAAATTATTGGTAATTTTACTGAAATCCCTAAATATTCGAAACCTTAGATCTTTTTGAGTGAAAAATGTCAGACAGTGATGATGGTAGCGACAACACGAGCGGAGTAGCCGATTGGCCAGTAACAGAGGAATGGTTACAGGCAGTACTAAAGGAGCACCACAAAGACTTAACAGAATCTACAGGAATCACCATTATCGAATTCACAGTGCGGCCTGGATGTGAGACAGGCGAAAGCGTTTTGTCTGATATATTGGCGGTCACTGTGACCTATTGTATAAGGTGAGACATTTTATTTTGTAAAATTTCCTATTTTTGTAATTCGATTTTTAGAGGCGATCCCGAAAGCAAAAATCACAACCTCAACTTTATTATAAAACTTTTACCTCAAGATCCGTTCAGCAGGTTTTTTGTTACTGAAGCTCAATTTGATTTGAGAGAAATTAAATTTTATACACAGGTAAGCACATAATTTTTTGACCTTAAAGAAGAATTTATCTCTATTCAAAATATAAGCTATCAGGAGAATTACTGCTTAACTTAATGACCTTAATAAGTCTTAAATAAACCCGTAATAAGTGTGTCATCAGCGAGCTTCGTAACTCAAGATTTAATGAGTTACTTATTGTTGATTGTTGTGCTTGCGTAGTTAAAGGGTAATGTTCCCTTTTTATGACTCATTTTCAAAAAATTACTTTAGTGCTGGTTTCTTAATAGACGAGTTTAATTTGTTTATTTTGTTGTCCCTTCCACATACCAGAAATCTTAGAAAATAGATTTCTTTTTTGAACTTCAATATAAATAGGTAATACATACAATTAATTGTCAAAAACAATCTTGAGTTTGAAGTTACAATGACAATGATGAATTTACATTAAAATTGCAACTTCAGCCTTTCATTGTCTGAGTAAAATATCAACAATAACAATCTGGCAGACAAAGCCTCAATAATTGAAAAACATAAAAAAGTCATGAACATCGACAATAGTGAAATGAATCATGAAAATAATTGATTATAACAGGAAATAATCCAATCAAATTAGGTAGTTCCTGATCTACAAGCCTTCAAAAAAGAAGTGTTTTCGGACGAACCAGAAAACGATTTTGATCTACCCATTCCCAAATGCTATTATGCTCACTACAGCCCAGGAGAAATGGAACCAGAACCGATACCGCCGTCGTCCGTTCTTGTTCTCGAAAATATCAAACCAAACGGGTACCAATCCATAGATTTCGCTTCCGGACTGGATTTGCGTCAGGCCAAAGCCGCTGTGGAGTCTATTGCTAAGGTGCATTCCTTATCGTTGTGTCTAAAGGTAATAATTAGTATTCCTTATTGGAATTTTAAAAATCACAATTTTTTTTTAGATTATAGAAGGCCAAGTACTCTCAGAAAAGTACCCGTTCCTCTTTCAAACATCTCAAGCTTCCGATTCATATCAGCAACTGGTCGAACGAGGTCTACCACAATTATTTGAATTTTTGCAGACAAAAAACGACCTCAAAGATATCCTCAACAAATTGAACGATCTACGACCACACACAAAAGAAATTATTGAGAATCTTTTGGGTGCAGAAGAACCAATGGCTCTTATAACACACACGGACTTCTGGTGCAATAATCTAATGTTTAGAGAAGTCCAAGGAGTGAGTAACACATTTAAAATAAAAATGAATTACATACTTATGTTCAATTTTCAGGTTTGCGAATGTGCAATATTAGATTGGCAAATGGTCACTTACAGCAGGCCAACTAACGATCTAGCTTTGCTACTAGTCAGTTCAGTTTCAGCTGAATTAAGACGAGAACATACAGATGAGTTACTGGATGCCTACTGGGAAAAACTGTGCTGCATATGTAGGCAACTGAAGATCGACATTGAAGAACTTTTAGGATACACCCGTAAGAAATTAGGGGAGGATTTCAGAAGAGCTCAATTGTTGGCATTGCTGTTGTGCATAGGTAAGCCAACATTAGATTGCGAAAATTATTTTTTTTTTAAACAAATTGTTTAGGTTCCGTTGACTTGGCATTGGGTAATGCTCAAATGGAAGACCGTTTGGTAGAGCTATTAAAGGATTTATACAAAGAAAATCTTCTCAACGTTGATGCAGCTCAAGGACACTAAAGAACAAAGCACAACTGAATTTCTTTTTGAGTGATATAAAATGCTGTGAAAAAAAAAGACGTTATTTATAGTTATAAAAGTGCTAGCTGACGAATATTAGCTGAAACATCTGCATCAACGATAGCTTCATACTTATTAGCGTAGATTATACTTGATTTGATACTTTTTTATATATTTTGTGCTTAATAAGGAGTGCGTATATTATTGCGCTTTAATTAAATTTAGATTCAAATATCTAAAATCAGACTCAATGTTTTTTAAATATCTTATAATCTTAGTAACTACCTATATCTAGGTCCGATCCCAATACATTGCCAATTACTCCTGGTCCTATATTGCTCTCGGGCTTAAAAATAATTAGGATATATTTTATTTTGTGCCAAAGCAGTATATGTTTTTAAGATACTTGTTTTAGATTTAATAGGTATTAATTAAAATAACAATAAAGGAAATGTTCTGGAATATTTAGTTTCATTAGAGGTTGAATCAATGTTTTAATTTTAGACATGTATAACATGATGGATGCAATTTTCTTTTTTCTGTTACAATGAAAATATACCGGGGAACAAAGCAGCAGGCATGCTGGCCAAGATTATCCTATAAAGTCCTAAAACAGACAAAAACCTGCAGACCTATCTATACACGGACAGAGTTGTTGTTGGTTGTTATTGGTTGTTTTTGTCATTTATTTTGTCATTCTAAAAGTCAAAATTTGAATTTTTAAATTGTGTTGTTGTAAACCATGGTCCCCACGTGCGTTAAAGGGAAAATTGAAAAAGTTTTGGTTGAAATAACCCTAATTTTTGTATTTACTCGTTTGCTTCATTTCGTTCGTATTTGTATTTTTTAGTCGTATTTTCTTTGCGGTCTACCTATAGCTGCGTGTCTCTTGCCAACTTACTAACTCTTTTTGCACCAAGGGTGGTTTAAAGGGGGGTAGAGGGGGTAATTACCCCCCCCCCCCCCAGACAAAGATTTTTTTTAATATATTTATTAATTACAGCAAAATTTCAACAAAAGACAAGTTCTACAAAGTAAAGGACTAAAGGCATCGTATGAATATGATAGGCTCACCAGTACCGACGTACCTACTAAAGTTCCTAAAGTTCATAGGTTGTCTGGTAATAGGTAACTTGATGACGCATCTGGGGGCCTTATGCAGCATTGCATTATATTGAGGCACCTCAGATGACGTCATAAAGTTATCAGGCAACCTACCTCTCTCAAACAACCTTGCATACTTTCTACTATACAGTGCTATGATTGTTTGAAATGTCTGGTCTTGTGTACAGTATTGCGAACACCCTGTAGAAGAATGTTAACAGATTTTCATAGGACCATGAAGTAAATTTAAGTAAAGTCCGTCGTTTCTAAACTGACACTTTTCGTATGAGGAGCGAGGGGGTATTTCATATGGCAAAAACAGGTGTGACGTCAGGTAATCATTGACGTTCTAATGTAGGGAGCCACCAGCTAAAATTCTGTTGGAGTATCAGATTAAAATCGACAGACATTATGCACTAACATCCTGCAAAAGATTTAGCTTATAGGATCTCCAATGGATGAAATATGTTGGTTTTTGTTGACACATGCAAGCTGCGATTTTTTGAAAAAATATTAAATATTTTAAAAACGGTTGAGTTTTGGTATAGATGATTCCTAACAAAAAGTATGTAGGATTTTTAGAACGATAGAATATACTAAAATATAGGGTGTTCCATTTAAAAATAACAAAGTTCTCTCGCATACCCCATTTACAGAGCACCCTGTATATTTAAAAATAATTTTAAGTAATGCTCCTTAGGGAATCAAACAACTTTGAATTTATATATTTTTTTCTTGCATCACCCTGTAAGAAGATATCGTCCGATATCGCACTAAGTGGACACCCTGTATAGCTATTTTGACGGCATCGGGATACATTTTTGCCCCAAGCTTGTTTTTTAAATGACTTTTGGGTGCAAATTTGGGCGTGGCACCCCAAAAAAAAAATCGCACCCGGCGGTACGTTCCAACGCTTGATGATTTTCCCGTCCTCCATTACCCCCCCCCCCCCCACCCCCAGAAAATCATGTATGGACCGCCACTGTTTTGCACTATGTTCGACATCGGAAACTTCCTGCCAGTCATAGTTTTCAAAAAAATGAGGCGAAAAGAGCTAAAAGGAGTCAGCAAGTCAGGGCCGCAACTAGAACCCTCGGCGCCCAAGGCAAGTCCAAATTTTGGCGCCCCTCCACCGCGGAAATATTAGCAAAAATTTTTCAAATTTGTATGTACGGTACATGTTAACAAAAACAAAACAAACTGCACTGGCTCTCCACGAGTCTTCCTAGCTCGTGCCAAAAAATGCGCACTGGGTGCATACATAATAACGTGCGTACATAATAACGTCGGCAGAATCTGTTCAGCCAATGACATTTGTTCAGCACGACGGACACCAGTTTTCTGACGCTGTACGTCGCGGTCACCTGCGCAAAGCCAACTATATCATTAACATTCGCTTGATTATAGCAGACGTGCGCGGCTTTCAACAGAATGTGAGTTGTGCGTAGCGGACTGCCCTAACAAATACGTAAACGAATGTTATGTGTCAATCCTGAAGTTCTTGCTAAAATCCTAGGACCGCTCGAACTGATTCACAAAAGGTTTCGAACCGATTCTGGTTGATCCGCGAATCCAGAACCGCAACTGGAAGTTCGGAATTTTGTGATCCGCGAACGCCATTACTTGAACTGCGCATGCGAAATAGTTTCGAACCACAGGTGCCCAATTCTCCAGTTACGACTAAAAATCTCGCAATCGACAACTCACGCATCTGAATGTCGAACGCGAATCCTAAACCCTATTCTCGGTCGGTATGCGAAATTAAATGACGCATTCGTCAATTGTCGAATGTTTGAACATGGCAACATCTAATTTTTTAGCATTGGTACGTTTTTGAAAACTTTAAAGTGTCATAATTTTTGATGTTTCAAAAAAAAGTGGAGTTTTTGGTGAAAAAATATAAGTTCTATGTCCTATTTTGTGCGATAACGATTACAATTCGTAGTAAAGTAATGGAAAAAAGAAAAATATACAAAGTTCTTCAAAAAGTGAACATGCTTACATTGGCTTCAATAGAAATTGAAGAAGACCTAGTACTATCCCTTATAGGGCCGGTTTCCCAAGATTTTCAATAGCCGCTAAAAACTCGATTTCTTCCTAATCAGCCATTTTTATGACAAAAATAAATAAAATTGATGCTCCGTGATTTCATCTCGCGTGGTCTTACCCACTTGTAATTATGTCGATCAAAAAAAGGCGACGGTGACATTCGAGAATTGGATTATGCCGAAAGGTATCGAGATATGCGATTCTCGTACGCGACATTGGGAAATCGTAATTCCAGAATTGGGCCCCACAGTTCAGAATCCTCACCCTTACCGCGAACCAGAGATAACCGCGAACGAAGCTATTGTAAAAGTAAAAGCTGTTTACGGAAACTATGATCGGGTTAACCCGATCGCCAGCAGACGCATTTTGTCTTTTTTCAATCGTATTCATTAAGGAAAGATAGAAAACATTCAGCTACTGATCAGGTTAACCCAAATATAGTTTCCGTAGACGGCTAAATAGAAAAGAGTAAAAAGAGATAACGCATGCAGCATGCAGAGGGCGCCCACGTCGCCCACAGTGCTCTTGCTCAGTTTGGTTGGATCAAAGCTCGACTTGGAGCTAATCTCTGGCTAACGAATGTTGGGCGTTACTTCATCAATACTTGAATTTATCATAGACATTGCAATTTGCTGCTGCGTTTTGCACGCGCACTGTGTTTGACATAATTTATATGATTACTATCGATATTCGTATTGTTGATAATTGGCAAAGAGAGATGTAACAAAAGCAAAATAAATTTCCGTGCTACGACAAATGACGCGTAAAACCGTTGCATTTTTTTGGATTTTAAAATATGGATGGATTAAATAAGGCGCCTTCGGCGCCCTGGTACTCCGGCGCCCTAGGCGGGTGCCTAGTTCGCCACCCCCTAGTTGCGGCCCTGCAGCAAGTCAAATGCAGTTGAACATTGAAAATTATTTAAAACTAATAAAAATATATGAAAAAAATCAATTCGCCTTTTTGTCAAGAATGCTCGATTAGTTGGGTTTTCAGTCAACGATGGCGCTGTAATTCATAACTAGAGATGTAAAAAAACGGTTTTTTTTCAGATTTGAAAAAAAACATTGAAAAAAAACCAGAAAAAAAACGGTTTTTTTTGTTTTTTTTTCTAAATGATTCAAATGTAAAAAAGCAGGTTTTTTTCAGATTTGAAAAAAAAAACATGAAAAAAAAAAAGAAAAAAACAAGTTTTTTTTTTTCAAAATAATTCAATTTTAAACTTCGTGAGTATCTCCAACCTCATCTTTAAGTAAAAAAAAAACGGACATTTGATGACCCTGGATACGTAGTTACAGTCTGAAAATTCTTCATACAGCGAAAGTGTCTTATATCAGAGTGATGTTCTGTTCTAGTATGTATGTTGTATGAATATGATGAATGTATGATCTGATATAATATGATAGTTCATACATGGATGTACCATGTACTTGACCTGAAAACATGTTTCATTTACATAAGAATAGGTCTGTTTCTGCAGAAATCACAAACCAGTCAGACTGAATTTCATTGGTTGAAACTAGTTTTCTGACTGTTTCTACTGTTTTCAACCAATGAAATTCGCTCTGACTGGTTTGTGATTTCTGCAGAAACAGACCCAATATTGTTCCTATGTTAGACAATATTTTACGTTTTATCCATATTTCACTGCTTAAACCAATTTTTTGTCCCAAGAAAAGTTTAATTGGCAAAAAAAGTAAAAACTGCGCATATGGTGCTTAGTTTAGAAAAAAAACACAAAATCTGAAAAAAAACCATTTGAAAAAAAACCATGAAAAAAAACTTGAAAAAAAACAAAAAAAACGGATTGTTTTTTTTCACGTTACATCTCTATTCATAACTGGTACATAACATTGCAGATACTTTTCTAGAGGTGATATGTTCTGTGGTTATCGTTATCAAATCTTGTTGATTATTAATATTATTATTATGAGAATTTCATACATCTGTCAAAACTGGTATTCCAACAATAAACTGACATGTTTTGATTGTTGATTTGAACCAATCAGATTGGAATTACGCGATAATTTGCACTAGTGCAATAGATAGTTGTTGCCTTGATATACAGATTTGTTATTAATAAGTTAAGTAAAGATACCGATCTGATAATTGGTCGTAACTTCACTGAAAATAAAAGCATTTGCTGTAAGAGAATAGAAGATAATTTTTCTTTCTAAAATCTCTTTTCAACAGAGCATGCGCCGGAAACTACGTGCCTCTTGATATACGCCATGGGGACCTAACTGATACCGATAAAAACAAATTGTACGGGATAATTCACAAGTTCGAATCATGCATGTACGTATCAA